AAAAATGTGAAAAGGTGAATTACTAATTTGTTTTTAGAAAAAGAATTTTTTAGAATTAGAATTAAGAATTTAGGTGTAATGTTGAAAGAAAGAAGAAAATATTGAATGGAATTTGTTTTTTTTTTTTTCTTCGGTAAATATTGGATGTGTTTTTTTAATAAAGAAAAAAATTCTAACTGGGGCAATATGAATATACAAATATAACAGTAATTATGGGTCGCTCTCAATGCATTTATAAATATTATTTGACACATTTGGTTTTTTTTTTCGGAAAAATATTTATATTTAATTATTAATTATTCATATTTAAAAAAACCAAACCATAAAAGTGTAATTAACCTATAAAAAAAAAGGCATAAAAAATAACAAAATAAAAACAAAATAATTTTATTTAATAACGGTTCTTTTTCAATTCTCTTCATTAAAGTATATGTATGTATACTCATTTAAGTTGAAAAGAGCAAATTGAAAATTTTTGAGGTTATAAAACTTAAATTCAATATTACTAAGAAATATAGAATAAATATGCATTTACGCATGTAACAATTTTTTTACAGATTAGCGAATTTTCTAGAATTTGTGAATTTTATTAGTAAATTTTCTTGAAATTTCATTGTCATAATAAATACTATACATAAATGACAGTGACATATGACAATTGAAGATGTAAGTAGACGAACGGGTTAACTAACATTTTGACGAAAATCGAACTGTTCGGATAGAACATCATTAAATTTCATATATTTTCAACTGTGATTACTCTTATAGATAGAAACATAATAGAAGACGAGATTGACAGTGCAAATAGGAAAGTAAAGTTAAAAAAAAAATTAAAATTTTTATTAATTTGTTATTGAAAAAAAATGTTAAAATGCAAATGTAAGTTAACCCCTTTGTGTACTTATTAATTGTATTTCCTAAATTTTCACTGTATGGGCATGTATCAATTTCACAGGAATGGGGCATGTATTATGAATTTTTCTTAAATCTTTAGTATTGAGGAATGGGGCATGTATTATGAATTTTTCTTAAATCTTTAGTATTGAGGAATGGGGCATGTATTATGAATTTTTCTTAAATCTTTAGTGTTTGAGATTAAAGTAATGTTTTGGTTTAAAATCTTAATATTTTTGAAATTATAAGTAGTGTACACATTATTCTTCATAATGAAATTTATACGTGTTTTACTCTAAATGTTCTACAACTCTTTTTTCATTTTCGAATTTAATAGATTTTTGAACTTAAAGTTAATTTCGTTATGGTAAATTATATCCGGAAATTTAAAGCGTGTGCTCAATTAAAAATTATTTACCGATTTTCATTTTAGAAAATTTCCTATTTTTCCTATTTATTTTTAATTTTACGAAACAAATTGTTTTAAAATAAAAATTATTATGCGTTCGTGTGTATATTATATAATAATTATTATTAATTAACATTAAGTTTAATTATAATTAACAATATTTTTTTTGTTTTTGACATTGTCAAGTTCATTGCAACATATTTTCTTGATAAGATCAACACGAAAAATATTGTGTTTAGTTGAGCGTCAGTGCGATTATGTGTATGTATGCAGGGAGTTATTGTACAATTTTTAAAATAAAATAAATAAAGCAAATAATTAATTTAATTTTGCTGTAATTTTCAATTTTCCTTAATGCAATTTTCCTCACACAATTAGATTGCAATTAGAAAAAATTTTCGAACTCATTAAAATTGCAAAATTTATCTATATTTATTTTATGTTATAAATTAAAATTTTTAATTATTATAGAAAATCATAAAATTCCTAGAAAATGAGAGTAAAAGCGAAATTAAAAATTTAAAAAAAAAAAGTTCGAATTGTGGTATTTTTTTTTGTTTTTTGTTTTCAAAATGCTTTTGTTTATTATTTTCTTTGATTGTCACTTCAAAAATTTCACTTTTCTTTTTGACATATGCTCGTCATAAAAATGTATATTTTATTAACAAATATTTATAATATGCATATAGATATATACTTAATAATATAATACAGAATGTTAAAATTAAAGTTCGAAATTCGGAAATACCGGCTTTATAAAATAATTAAATTTGCATTATAAATTTTATAATTTATGAAAATATTTCTAATTTTATTTAGGGTATGTTAAATATAGTGTTAATGATTTTGATAATATTGAAATGTTATTAATTTTAAATACAGTGTGTCACTGTCATTGTTAGTGTATCAGTGTAATTCACTTATGTCATGCTTGATCATAATAACAAAGAATTATATATTTATATTCAAACTGTTATTTTGTTATTATGTACTAATGATTTTTTCATTAGAGTTAAGGAAATTCTCTTAAAACAATATATTGACGTTTCATGTTAAATGAAAGACCTGCTCTAATAAGTTAAATATCCAATAAATTTGATGTTATTTTCAAAATTTCTAAACATTAAAATTACAATGACACCGCATTCAGTACCTAAGAGTATAAACTAAATTATATGTATTAAAAATAGTGTAACTGTTATTTGGGACTTTAAGAATTGAAAGACTTAGATAAACCAGTTTTTCCCTATTGTATGCAATAATTAATTAAAAATTTTCTATTATCCCTAACTAATTTTTCAATTTTTGTCTTATACAGCCTAATAGTATTCTACAACAATTATACTTAGCAACAAAATCATTATAGTTCACTAAGTTTTTCCAAAACTATATTTTTCACTTTAATGTGATTTCGAATTTTAATTGTAACCTACATTTAATATAAATAAAAATAAAGAAAATATTAAAAGTGTAAGTGTGAAATGCACGTAGGCATTTTTTTGTTTATATTTTAAAACTTACAACTAGTATAGTAAATTTTTAAGGTTTTCACAATCTTAAAACAATTAAAGCATATTTTGTAAATCTGAAACGGTTGTAGATTAAAACTAAAGAACACTAATTATAAAATAATAGGTTATTGGAAAATTTCAATAATTAAGGCAAGATTATCAGCAAATTTATTAATAATTATTTTAATAAATAAATAAATTCCAATATTTTTGAAATTTTTAAAATTCAGAATGAGAAATTAGAAGATTATTCAAAAACAACTTAACAACTCTTTAATGGTAACAAGAAGAAACTATTTAAATAGTACTAACTATTTATATAGAAGAAAAAGAAGAAACTTATTTCTTCTCACGTATACCAAGCCATCTAACAAAAAAAATGTATACAATAACAAAAATATTCATAATTTCCCAACTAGTCAAGTGTAACCGGTATAATTAACTATGAACTGCAATTGATTTTTTATTGTTTCATTTTAACTCTAGATATATACATATGTACATATCTCTAAATAACTGTGTGTATGTTTATAGAGCATATGAGAGCACTTACCAAAACTACAATTGGAAAAACAAAAAAAAATTTAAACATTTGAACAACTTGAGGCATATATAATAGTGTGCATTTAATAAAATGAGCGTTATTACGACAATACAATTTTTGTTTTTTTTACAAAATTCAGGTTGACCGGTCGTCCATGAATACTAATTGGAGAAATTTGAATTTAAACCAAATTTAAGCCGAAAAAAAAAATTGCTAAATATAATTTATAAATTATCATTAAAGGTACATAAATTTATATTTAATTTAAGCATTTTGTTATACTAGTTGACGCTAGTCATTATATTATGTTTGGGCTCACGTATACATACATATATAAAAAACATTTATGAAATATAATGAATAATTTAAATCACGGCGTTAAATCGCGCATTATTTGATCAATTATTTATATTATGTTTGTATGATAAAAAAAATTATATATACGGTATTGCAATGTGATGTTATAATTTAAAAGTAGTTCATTATATATATATACCATTTAAATGTTATACTATGTAATGCGAAATTAAAACATATTTGTATAAGTATGGGAGTATAACAATTAAATTTTATAAAAATTGAAGATGTTCAATTATTCAGAATAAATTACGATAAAAAAATTTCGATGCTATTATTATTTAACAATTTTTTTTTTTGTGATAATAACAATTTTTATCTTTAATTTAAAATCCAATTTTTTTGTTTCAAAGAAAAAAATTTTTGCAACAAAAAACAAAATTTTTTATATATTACGATTTTCTAAGGAAATTTTTTTTAATCTAAAACGCTATAAATTTCAATAATTTGTTGAAAATTTGCAAAATTATTAATAACTTTCTTTCAAATGTTGACTTCTCTATACAATATAGATTATAATTTTTATGATAGATTATTAATTGTTATTTTTATATATGTATATATAAAATGTAATGTATATTAATAAACCATAAAATATTTTAACGTGATTTGAGGAAAAAAATATAAAATGAAAAGTGAAAGTTTTTAATAACAAATAAATAGCAATCATCATGAAAATTTCTTTAATGGACCTGACTAGTAAGCTATATATACATCGATTACGAAATATGGCTATAGTTAGTTTTTCTTGAATATTAACTTATATTATATAATTACATTTAAAATTATTACGAAATCATATTATAGGACATTATATCGAATATTTTAATTATATACGATTTTTGAACTGAAAGTAGAAAAAGGAAATGGAAATTTTTAATTAAATAATTCGATTGTTATATAATTATTTCAGGGAATATTAATTGTATTATTGAAAATTGTGGTTTGCATTATATAATTTTAATTACAATTATTATTAAATTAAATAATAATTAATTAATTATTTCACTTCTTCAATAACCTTGATTTTGATTCTAAAACAAATGCATGTAATAAGTAAAATTTCTCATAACATTCTTTGTGTTTTCTTTTATTTTCAGCAACATGTTGCCGCAATATTGAAATATCGTAATAAAAATATCGTAACAAAATTTTCATTATATATAGTGAACAATCAAAAATTGAAGTAGTTAATTTGAAAAATAAATTAAACAAGCTTTTTTTTCCTTATGAAATTTGGTTGATGTCTTCGGTTAAATCAGTTTTTGTATTTGGTTTGGAAAGTCACTAATCACAAATATAGAAAACAACAAAAATAAATTAAAAATTTGAAAAGAATATAAAAATGGATATTATAAGTACAACGAATGCAATTGGTGGTGCTGTTATATCAGCAGCAGCAAGTTCATCATGGTTTATACCAATGTTAGTTGCATCTATAGCATATTTTCAATTTGAAGAAATGACAGATCCAGAATTAAGGCCTATTGATATACCAGCATCAGATATATTAGAATATTATGATTTTATAGTAATTGGAGCTGGTTCTGCTGGTGCTGTTGTAGCAAATCGTTTATCAGAAATTGAAAATTGGAATGTTTTACTATTAGAAGCTGGTGGTGATGAAACTGATATATCTGATGTACCATTAATGGCTGGTTATTTACAATTAAGTAAACTTGATTGGAAATATAAATCGGAACCGGATGGAAAATCTTGTCTAGGTATATAAATTAATTTTTATTTATTTTAATAAAAATTTTATTATATTGTTTTTGTTTTTTAGCTATGGAAAATGGACGTTGTAATTGGCCACGTGGAAAAGTTCTTGGTGGCTCTAGTGTCTTAAATTATATGTTGTATTTACGTGGAAATAAAAAAGATTATGATAATTGGGATAATTTAGGAAATTATGGTTGGGGATATCGTGATGTATTGCATTATTTTAAAAAATCAGAAGATAATACAAATCCGTATTTAGCACAATCACCATATCATTCTACTGGTGGTTATTTAACAGTTGGAGAAGCTCCATTTCATACACCATTAGCAGCAGCATTTGTTGAAGGTGGTGTTGAAATGGGTTATGAAAATCGTGATTTAAATGGTGAAAGAGCTGCTGGATTTATGATAGCACAAGGTACAACAAGACGTGGTAGTAGATGTAGTACATCTAAAGCATTTTTAAGACCAGTCAGATTACGTTCTAATTTACATATATCAATGAATTCACATGTAACAAAAATATTAATTGATCCAATAAAAAAAATTGCATTCGGTGTTGAATTTGTACGTGATCATAAAGTATATCAAGTACGCGCAAATAAAGAAGTAATATTATCGGGTGGTGCTGTTAATTCACCACAATTACTTATGTTATCTGGTATCGGAAAACGTGATGAATTAATTAAACATAATATACCAGTTATACAAGAATTAAATGTTGGTGAAAATTTACAAGATCATATTGGATTAGGTGGTTTAACATTTGCTGTTAATCAACCTGTATCAATTGTTGAAAGTCGTTTTCATTCAATGGCTACCGTATTACAATATGCTGTATTTGGACAAGGACCATTAACAATTTTAGGTGGTGTTGAAGGTTTAGCATTTGTTAATACAAAATATGCAAATAAAACTGAAGATTATCCAGATATTGAATTTCATTTTGTATCTGGTTCAACAAATTCTGATGGTGGAACACAATTATGGAAAGCACATGGTTTATCACGGCAATTTTATGATATAGTTTTTGATAAAATAAATAATAAAGATGTATGGAGTGTAATACCAATGCTTTTACGTCCAGAAAGTGTTGGTTCAATTAAATTACGTAGTAATAATCCATTCGATTATCCATATATAATACCAAATTATTTAGATAAACGGCGGGATGTTGAAACATTAATTGAAGGTGTTAAAATTGCAATTGCATTATCAAAAACACGTGCTATGCAAAGATTTGGTTCACAATTAACAGCATATAAATGGCCCGGTTGTAAAAATATACAATTATTTACAGATGAATATTGGGAATGTATGATACGTTATTATACAGTTACAATATATCATCCAGTTGGTACATGTAAAATGGGACCATATTGGGATCGTGAAGCTGTTGTTGATCCACAATTAAGAGTATATGGTATAAGAGGTTTACGTGTTATTGATGCTAGTATTATGCCAAAATTAGTTAGTGCAAATACAAATGCTCCAGTTATTATGATTGGTGAAAAAGGAGCTGATATGATTAAAGAATTTTGGATTAAGAAAGCAATTAATTCCAGAATACTAGTCTAATATTAAAATAAAATAGAAATTTTTTGAAGAAAAAATTTATTTTATTTTGAAAAATTGTATGTAAATTTAAAAATATTTATACATAAATGTATATTGTGTAGAAATGTGAATGACTGGCTCTCTCATTTTTTTTTTGTTAACTTAACAGGATATATTTATAATAAATAATAATTATAAGTAAAAATTATTTTTATGCCGTGTGATTATTGCTCATATTATTTTTAATAAGTTTTAGTTTTATTTATTGTAATATTAAATTAATATTTAAAGTAAAATTAAAAACTACATATATTTATTATTATGTAATATTAAATTTAGAAGAAAACAAAAAAATATAAGTGATTATTTAGATTTAAGAAATAATTATTATTAATTTTTATTAATTAAAAATTAAGTTTAGAATTTTATACAAATATTTAAATTTTATTTCCTTTCCATTACCTCGATTAAAAATATTGAATAAATCCTAATTTAAAAAATCAAACGTTTTACTGAAGGATGCCCGGGACTAAAAATAATTTAGTTACTAGGAACTTGACTAAATTTAGTTTTAAAGATTTCAGTTTAATGCTTTCATTTTAAAAGAGTTGATTATTATTAGTATACGATATTGATAATTGACAAAATTACAAGAATTTTATTCGTGTCTCGACAATTGAATTAATTTAACACTGAACAATAAATTATTTTAAGGCCTTTATTATGATCGGCGAAGCGAATGAAATTTTTATCTAATATGAATTTTTTTTTATTATTATTAAGAAATTCGCCTAAATTTTAAGCGAATAAGATGTCAAATCTCAGCTGTCGCCGATCATAATTTAAAATGCTATATGATTCTAGATTATCCTAGTGCCTAGCCATTCGCTTCGCCGATAATAATAACGGTATAAAATACAATTTTTCTCGTTGAATTGTCAATATTGTTAATTCACGTCAACTACACAAAAATTAATTCAGTAATTCTACAAAGCTTAGTTATAATATTTCGAAAATTTTAATGCTTTCTACTATAATTATTAATGTTATAATTTGGCAAAAATATTTCAAGATAATTTATTCCAAATATTTTAAGAAATAATATGGAACACATGGAAAATTATCTTAAATAATTAAATAAGAAAATTGTGTTTGATTTAAAGATTTTGCTCATTAAAGAACAGCAGTCTCATGGGGATTATTTAAGAATTTGTGTTATGATAGAATTTATATTATAATTGTGTTATGGGAGATGACGAATATTAATAATTTTGCAATATTTACTTTTCACAGGCAAGATAGAGATTACACTTATTCCTAAATTATTAACGTACATGCCAATATATCCATAATATTCTAAATTTAAGAATATGCAAAAATATGATAGAAAAAAGTAAACCATTCAATAATTGAAGTTTTAATCAGTATGCACAAATAAGTTTGTTTTATTTTAAATAACGTTGTTATGTCAACTCAAAACAATATTTCTAAATATAAAATATTGAAAAAAAAAACAAAATCAAAATATTAATTTTTTACTGATAAGAAATTTTATTATAAACTAGAAAGTGTATTTATTTTGATTACCTTGTATATAATATTATTATTTTAATGAAACAAAGTTTTTATTTTAGTGTTATCATTGTATTTATATAGTATTTAACACAACTATCAGGTATTATAATTTATACATAAAAATGTTTGAAGTTAAGTATGAGCATTTAATTCTAGTATTCGTATATTCGCAGCAGAATGTTCATATCTCTAACTATCTAAAGCATTTCATTTAACAAGAGAGAAATTAGAAAAATATTAAAAAAATTTGATTACTAACGAGGATTTTTAAGAATTTGAGCGAAATTTGCAACAGAGACGCAATAGCGTCTTCTTTTTTTCACAAAATGCTCCCAATTCAAAGAACATACTTAATGAAAAATGTGAATTCATTGCTAAAAACACTATTTCTTTAAAAGTTGCTCATTAAAGAACAGCAGTCTCATGGGGAATCTCATACTAATTATGTAGCATTTAAATTTGTAAACGCCACTCATTCGCTTAAAATTCTGCAAATTCTGTGAAAAACTTGAAGAGGTCACAAGTCTCTATTTTGAAATTAGACCAAGAATTTTCGAAACAAAAAAAAAAAATTCTATACTTTAGAAAACAAAAATTGAAATTTAATTAGATTAAAACTGTTGTGCAAAGTCATCCTTATGTTATCAAAACCAATTAAATGAATATTTTTTTTTGCTAAAATTGAATTGTAAGTGAATGCAAATCTTTATTATGGTAAACTGTATTTAATTGGGCTATAAATGTGGGCTATAATAAATTTATGTATATAAGTATATATACTAAATCAATATTGAATTGAATTTATGCAATATTTTATTTATATAACCTACCTTAATATAGGTTCTTTTCATAATCAATTAAAATATTGTAAATATTGATTTTTAGTTAGAAAAGTATTAATTTTACATTTCCAATTGATTCTCAACTTAATTTAATGCATTTTCAAATAATTATTTATGATATTATAAATGAGGTCTTTCGGTTAGTAAAATTAATAATTAAAATATATATTTATAATAAGTACAAAATATAAATTTGACAGTAAATGCTGATAACCAACCATAACTTAATTATAATATATTCTAATATAAAAATTTTAATATAATATAATGTACGTGTATGTTTATATATAGATTAAAAACACCCATACAACATGATTTTTTGTACATACATATTTACATATTGGTAATGACATTGATAAAGGCTATATTATAATATTGCGGTTATGATTATTAAATCATATGGCAATGATTGAATTAATTATGATTTAGATTTTTCATATATAAAGTATAAGTACGTAAGGGATATGAAAATTTTCTACCTTTAGTAGCTTTATAAAAAAGAAATTTCACTTTCAGTCATCATCTGATATTCATTGAAAACGGTTCGGCCTCAGTATAGCGTATATTATATAGCGTATATAAGAGAATAAATTAATTTCAAAATGGATTCCATGTATGATATGGGATTTTTGAATACACCATGTGTTAATCAAAGTGTTGGACCAGCTAATCAATTAGTTACATTATTAGTTCATACATTATTATCAACACATTGTGCTATTTCATCACCAAAATTCTGGCCTGAAGATTATGGAACAAATTTAACTGAGAATGGTTAGTAAATTTTTCCTTTTGTGAAAGTAAAACTTTAATTTTATTTTTTTTTTCTGTCGTCTTTCAAGGATTAAATAATTTTGATTTTATTGTTATTGGAGCCGGTTCAGCTGGATCAGTTATTGCTAATCGATTATCTGAGAATCCTGAATGGAATGTATTATTATTGGAGGCCGGTGGTAATCCACCAACAGAATCTGAAGTACCAAATTGGTTTTTTGCATTACAACAATCACCATATGATTGGCGTTATAAAACTGAATCAAATGGTAAATCATGTATGGCAATGCGTGATCATGTATGTCTTTGGCCACGTGGCAAAATGCTTGGTGGTTCTAGTTCAATGAATTGTATGTTATATGTACGTGGTAATCGTAATGATTATGATAATTGGAAAAAATTTGGTAATCCGACATGGGGTTATGATGATATTAAACAATATTTTATTAAATCAGAAAATTTAAAAACAACTGATAATGATAATATTAATTTATCGGAACATGGTCAGAAAGGAACATTATTTGTTAGTCAATTTTCAAGTGATAATAAATTGAGTGATGCTATTATAAAAGCTGGTGAAGAATTAGGTTATAAAAATATTAAAGATTTTACTGAAGAAAATTATATTGGTTATAGTAAAGTATTTGGTACACAATATCATGGTAAAAGATTTAGTACAGCAAAATCATTTTTGGTATCAGCAAAAAATCGTAAAAATTTAAAAATAATTAAATATGCTCAAGTTAAAAAAATTAATTTTGATAATGGAAAACGTGCAAATGGTGTTACATTCGTTTATAATGCAACAGGTGAAATGAAAGAATTTACGGTACCAATTAAAAAAGAAATAATATTATCGGCTGGTGCAATTGGTACACCACAAATTTTAATGTTATCTGGTATTGGACAAGAAACACATTTAAATAAATTTAATATAAAATTAGTACATGAATTGAAAGGAGTTGGCCGTAATCTTCAAGATCATGTCATTATACCATTAATATTCAAAGTGAATAAATCAACTGCAAAAGCTGTTACCAAAGAATATCTTTTAGATAATATGTATAATTATTTAATGAATCGTACAAGCTTTTTATCACATCATGATACAATGAATGTTGTTGGCTTTATAAATACAACTGATCAAAATGCCAAATATCCTGATATTGAAACACATCATTTCTATTTTAAAAAACGTAGTCCTGAAATGCAATTTTATGTTACTGTTGTCGGTTATTCAGAAATTGTTGGTAGAGCTATTTTAGATGCAAATTTATATGCTGATATATTAGTTGCAACAGTTGTATTATTAAATCCAGAATCAAGAGGTAAAATACAATTATCAAGTGATAATTATTTAGATAATCCAAAAATATATGCAAATTATTTGGAACAACAAAATGATTTAGATACATTATTGCGTGGTGTGAAAATACAAGCAGCATTTGAACAAACAAAAGCATTTAAAGAAAATGAAGCACAATTAGTTCCAATACCATTACCAGCATGTAAAAATTTTGATGATAAAACTGATGAATATTGGTTATGTTATATACAACAAATGAGTACAACAATATATCATCCAGTTGGTACAGCTAAAATGGGACCAGATTCTGATAAAGCATCAGTTGTTGATTGGAAATTAAATGTAAAAGGTGTTAAAGGATTACGTGTTGGTGATGCTAGTATTATGCCAACTATAGTTAGTGGAAATACAAATGCTCCAACAATTATGATTGGTGAAAAATGTGCTGATTTTATTAAAAAAGATTGGAGTATATCAAAAGAGGAATTATAAAATGAAATAGTTATACGTTTCAACTTTAATTTAGAATAATTTCGAGAAAATCAAAAAAATAATATTTTGTATAATAAATGTTGTGAAAATAATGTGTTATAATATGTTATAAATTTCATTTTTATAATTTCAAAATTTCATTACTTTTACTATTTTACATAATATATTTTGTTATAACGTAAAATAATAGAGTTTCTTATTCGTTTGTTAATTACTATTCGACTATTTTTATAAAAGACAAATAATGTTATACTTAATATATGTCATCTATATACAGTTTGTGTTATATAGTTCCAAAAACGGAGTGTACTGTCGTAAAATTTTTATCGTATTTTCAATTAAAACCATTTAAACTCAAATTTTTCGGATATTTTTAATAAGCAACATAATTATTTAATTATAGCGAATGCATTTGATTGCCTATTAAAATTCATTTTAAAGGGATTAAATCTATTTTAATCAATTTAATTTGGCTATCAATTTTAATATGGCCATTTTTTATAAATTCTGTAATTGAAATTTTCGCTATAGAAAATTATTTTAAAATATTGAACATTTTATTGAGAATGAAATAATTTGAGAAACACTGCGTTTTTTAACAACTACAATACTCGTTAGCAAAGACACAAACCAAAAATTGAAAGCTTTTCAAAATTATCAATTTTAATTCTACAACATTGAAATGCCGTCATTTAATGACGCCATAGCACAACAAATAAATCTAATAGCATTCTTCAATATTATCAGATATTTAATATAATTTCCTGTACGGCTGTACCGATACCTGTATTAAAATAATTTTATTTAATGAGATTAATGAATAATAAATTTTATAAAATATTAAAAAATCATTTAAAAATGATTTGAACAAAAATAGCAGAAATATAAATAAAATTCGTTTATATTATAAAATATTAATGGAAAATTAGTCAACTGAAAATATAAATAAAACACGAAAAATTGTTGTGAATTATATTTGGGGTGGCCTCATAAGGAACTTTAACAACTAGCCCCATAACTTTATAACAACTATTTAATTCATGAGCGTAAAGGTATAGTATAGGTAATTGTACATATATAAAGGCTGTATAAAACAGAAAAAAAAAAATTCAGTAGTCATGCCATTTCTTTCCCCACACATGTCCTCTATATTGTCCCCTCATACTTGTACTCGTACATCCCTTGTAAATTTTATATGTAGTTTTTTCATCATCTTAAATTTTCTTTTCCGCAATTTACCTATCCTCCTCCTCCCTCCATTCCAAATTTCCTTATATGCTATATCCTTTTCATGATTTATGATTCAAGTAAATTATTTTCACCGATATTCGTAATGTCGTACTCCCCATTTTCCAATTTTTTTTTCGACATTCTCTCATACAAATACAATTACAAAGTATCTTTATAATAGATGTAACAAATCTTCTTAAGAATTATTTTCAGAGACCATTATCAAGGAAATAGTTTCTTTATAGATATTATTTCAATGAGAAAGAACAAGAGAATAGTTTACATACCGTCCCCTTGTTTTACTGAAAAATGTTAGAGCAAAAAATAGTATGAGAAAAGCTGAGTAAGAAGCAAAATGGTTATAAAGTAAAAATCAATTTTTTGTTTTTTCTTTTTTTATTACATAATCCTGGAATATTACGTTTTATATTTTTTATATAGAAAGTGTTAAGGGTGAAAATTTTTATATATAATATGAATATACACATGTACATATTCTAATAAATATAATAATACTCAGGTGCTAAACATCTAGTTTTCTCAATTCTTATTCTATTTAAAATCTATATGATACGGGTGGTAATGGTAGGTCTGAAGTTGAAAAATATGGCAAATCACTGCTAAAATAATTTTCAAACAATTTTCTTACTTTTGCTCTTCTCATTTTGTATCATTTGTATTTTACGTTTCATATGACATAAATTGTATGTGACACAAAAGCAAAACGAAATAACTCAAAATTAGAATAGTTTCCGGTGACTCAAGTTAACTAACTCACAGCCATTTTTTAAAGTATAGAGCCGAAATCGAGATTGAGACAGTATGTTTTAAACTGTATATTAAATGTTATTTCTTAAATTTAATTAGAATTTTCTTGAAATAGAAATTAGAATGCAAAATTTATAAAGTGAATATAGAATGTACCTATATAGAAAGTTCTGAAGTGAATCAAATTTTCATGAATTATAAATTTCAGTATGAAAAATTCAAATATGGTTATATCCCAATTTTTCTTATTCCCACAGAATTTATGATTTGAGGACATTATTCATTTAATTTCTAACAATCAAATTGTAGTTAATAATGCAACAAATGTTTACTATTTGTCCTTGTCCAAACTCTATTGAAATTTTTTTTTATATATTTTTATAAAAAATTGCTATAAGGGTTATTTAAAATTTTATTATGGTAGTAATATTATTCGTGTATTATCGATTTATAAAATTATAAGTATATGGATCTAGTGTTTGATAAAGAAGAAATTATTGATTATTACATCAATCTGATTAAGAAATTCAAATCAAATATTAAGTATTTTGCACTTAAATATGAAAGGTTTATTCATATAATAATATCACTTAAATTAATTTGGGAATCACTTAAGAGATAAGACTATATTTAGTTATTAATAATTATTAAATGTTTAAATGTTGAGCATTCGTAATTTTCCACTTGAATTCTATATAGAAATTTTAATATTATTAATTTTATGCCAATAATAATAATATAAAATATTATAATTAATTATGTATAATTCAATAAAATAATAATAAATTTGTTGGCATACTAAGTATGTGTTTTATAATAAGTATACTAGCATCCTGAGCAATATGTAGTTATTATAAAATTTTTGAAACGAAAATTGCTCGATATAATCATAGAAGTAGATTACGAGAGGTTATGTTTAATTGCTCGATCTATCTAGATTTCTGCCTTGAATTACGTTGCAGTTAAACTAAATTAATTTTTCAATTTCATCAAAATAAAGAAATATGAAATTTGAGCCCTTTGCTCACCGATGAACTTAAAAAAAAACTTACGTTAACTCCCATCTATATGAGGAGTATGTAACCTCTAAATTCAAAGAAACTATTTAGAACAAAAGAAGCTATTAAATTTTAAATTATCAAATTTATATAATCATAGAGCCCAGTCATTAAAATAGCAGAAGTCTCATTCGTCAATACCCCAGTTTTAGTGCTTAATTCTCTATTGTTTGTGTATACTAATGTTAATTTACAGACAAAATTTAACAATTGTGGAAGAAAATCCTAGTAACTTGATGAATATCAGTGACTGAACCAGTAAGAATATCGGGGTTTTAAATATCAATAAAATCAGTAAACGAAACTTTTTATGTTTAAAAAATCCACTCGTTTCACATCCAGGATTTTTGATTTGTATATAATATAATCCAAACACAAGTAATGAGGGTTCAAACAAAAAAAACGACGAAGCTTTTCGAGAAAAAATTCGTGGGTGATCTTCGTTTCACCTGATATTTCTTGAAAGATGCAAAGCTCGTTCTGGGACATAAAGGATTAACATTTTCGATTCAAATTGAATTTTAAAACTTTTTTGAACTGTAATCGAATCTATATTTGCAAAGTTATTGTATTCAATCTGTTTTTCTGCTAAGTACACCTTTTATAAGACTTTTGATTATATAATCGATAACATCACCTTATGTATATGGGAAAAGAAAAATTGATAATAAAAACTGATTTCATTTTATAATGGGAATAAAATTGATTAACATGTTCACTTCCCATAAACTATATTACAATTTAATTTAATGTCACCCTTTCTGAGTTCCGAGCCGAATGAAAGCGGTCAACGAAATCGTATATAATAAAAATCAAATAGGCATAAATTGAATTTTTATATTTTTTTTTTTTTAATTAAAATTACAAAATAAGTTATGAAACAAATTAATCACAATAGATTCGTCTAATTACTGTTATGTTAAAATGATTAGTGTGACATTGCTAACAAGAAAATAAAAAATAACTTCATTTAAATAGCGATTATTTAACCTAAAAGTAGCCGAGAAAAACAAGTGAAAGATAATGACAATTAAAACAAAGAAAAATGAAAGAAAATAAATATTGTTTGTTCACTCATACTTGACATAAATTTCTTCTAATAAGTTTTCGTACTCAGTGTAAGTAATTATTATTTTAAAAACATCAAAAAACAAAAATAATTTTTTTTATTTTCCTTTAATTCTTTAAATTTTATTTTTTTCTTTTAAATTGGAAAAAAAAATCCCAAATTTTTATCATTAGAGCAGAAATATTTGTCAAATGTGTACACGGTTAAGCCTTGTTAAATTTACACCTTTAAAATATAATTGTTATATCACATAAATAACTGTGATTACAATTTAATTATTAGCAATATATCTGCACCTTATTCTCAGTGATAATATGAGGTATGAGGTGGAATCACATATGAATATTCGAGGTATTGAAAAGAAGTTCAATTGAATAGAAATGCATGGCTTACAATTTTTTATTTTATTAAAATAATTTTACATTGTATTTTTAATACGGTTGGAATGTGTAAAATAAATTATGTAAAAATAATTAAAAATTTGAAATGTAAAAATAAATTATAAAGAAAATTTTAGAGAAATTTAGGCTAGAATCACTGTTAGGTCGGCCTCCCGTAAAAAAATGCAGCAATAGACAAAGTGAACAAAATTTATTGGAAAGGTACTTGACAGGTCCACCGCACCCCAATTAAAACAAATGTTCCGTTTTGCCATCTCTACCCCATGATCATAAAAACTGTCATTGAGCGATTACAGAGAGCCTATTTAAGCTTTCCGAATTTCTTAACCCTTGCATCAGTTAAAAATAGTTTTCTTTTTATCTGATGCATGGATGCTAGACCAAAATTGCCCTTCAATACTTCGTATTGAATACTTCATACACGAAGTATTGAAGTGAAATTCTGGCCTAGCAGCATTCTCCCGCAACAGCTAGTGTACTATGTAGACTGCCTTTAGGTACGTAATGTTCCCCTGAGACATCGGCAGGAGTCCATCC